ATATTCATTCAACCTTTATTTATACAGAGTCAGAATCTGAGAGTCAGAGTCAGAGAGATTTATTTGTCATTCGCACCACATGTAGTACATGTGGTGGAGCGATATTATGTACACAGGGTCCCAGTTTGTGTGTGTTTGTACAGGTTAATCCCATTGAGCTTCAGGGGCTCATTTACAAGATAGACTTGATTTTAACAAAGAGTGATTAAAACAGAGGACAAAGACAACAATTGCCCATATAAATTGAGATTTTTTTCCCCGCATCTAGCTTGTTCACAGTAGGAGCTGCAGCAGCAAGCAGTTTTACACAGCAGGAGGCAGGGGGAGTGGGTGAGGAACTGGGTTTGCATTCAGTGAGGGAAAGGAAGAGGGGCTGCGTGATGGCGCAGAGTGGGAGAAAAAAACTGCAGATTTTCAGGTAATATATAATATATAAATAATATATAAATAATATATATATATATATATATATATATATATATATATATATATATAAATAAACTTCTTCAGATGCTGAGATTTAATTTAGACTTCATGTGATGAGCTTAGTAAAGCATCAGGATTCTTCACATTCCTCTTCACATAGACTTACTTAAAAATATATTTATATTACCTGTATTGGGGTTGGCAAGAGGGTTGGGCTTCCTCTGGATTCCACGTGCTGTTCCTGTATCTTCGTTGATCTGCTGCATAGAGTTGAAGTCAATGGTGTAGACACGACCCAAAGTTGACAAGCTGATCTCATCTTCTCCGTTCTGATGGGCCGTCTGCGGGACAAGGCAGTCACCAAACACACGATTAGTAACTCCCACAGGACAAAGTTTTACAGACTGCAAGTAGTCTGAATGTTAAAGTAACATTTAAATCAAAAATAAAGTAAATGCATAAATTTAACCGGAATGATAATTTATCATTCAGCTAGTCATCTCAAATCGAAGAAGCAATGTTGGCTTTCAGACATTTGTGATCCGTTTGTGGCAGAGAACTATTTTAAATACACTGAACAAAAATCCATTTTAAAAGCGGAACTCAAAGATCTAACACTTTTTCTATAAACACAAAAGGCCCTTTTCTCTCAAATAAACTTAACACTGTTAAGTTTGTTTAGGTGTGAATTGCCAATCTACATATGTGTGTGTGTCTTATCTCACTCAGCCTTATAACCTGAATTTCTCACTCTCTGCTCTTTGAATTGAGAAAGCTCCTCGGATGAGGAGCGAAACGTCTTCTGTTACAAATAAAGTCCAGTTGTTTTTGTATTGAACGCTTTTTGAATATCTCATTTGATGTTTTTTTTCTACTATAAATTTGACATTATTTTCCCCCCTGGAAAATATCAAATCACATTTTGTGGTGATTTCTATGTCTGCAATAACCCCTTATAAAACGTTAATTTTAGATCTGTGTTGATATTTAAACTACTTGAAACCATCACACCTATAGATTACATAAAATAGTATTTGTAGGTGTAAAATACACAACCTGCAGGTGACATTGTAATTTTTACCTCAATAATGCGGCTGTCAATGCGATTGTAAGGATGCCAGAGGCCCCGGTCATCCCTCCACTGCCAGATTGCACCTTCTGTTGTCTGAGCACTGCCCTTCTTCAACATTACATCAACGGCAAAGATGCCCTCTCTGGGAAGGCAGGGCATCAGCTCACTGCAAGGAAAAAATTTAATTAAAAAAACTGCAAAATATTTCTTAAGTTAAAATACCAGAGAAGGAAGTGTTTATTTTTTTAGTGTTTTGTTCGATCAATCCACTTATAAGGAATTTATTTAGGAGTAAATAAAAGAGAATGATTATTGTAATGTTGCCGACTGTGTAAAATGATTCTTATTTTTAAGTTTATAGGCAAGGGGGATTACAATTTGTCAGCCCTACACAAAGCATCCACGCTGTGTGTAAAATGTACAGCAGGATCGTGAAACAATATAGAATAAACTTTCCAAACTTCGTATAAATCAGAAATGCCTTCCTCTAAATCTATAATGCACATTTTCTTGCAGATTTCAGATTATAAAAGAAATGGCACCAACAAATCTACAAAAAAATAAAAATCATATTTCTTGGGTGTCCACTGTGATGCAAACAAAAATATACATTACCATATGAGGGAGGTCAGTTCATAGAGCTCCTGAGGGCTTCTGGGAACTAACTCAATCTGCTCCTGGCAGCTCCCATTTGATGCACCACACAAGAGGAAACGAAGGGTTTCTGCTATGTCTGTTTAGAGAGAAGAGAGATTCTTGTTTTGTTACAATCACACATTCTAGTTTTCATAAGAAGGTCCAAAACAGTTGGATGTCATTTTAAACCTTAAAAAGTCACATGAAAATAACTATAAAATAACACTAAACACAGTTTAAAAGACAATGTTCTCAGTTAACAATTAGGTCTACAAGAGCAAATATCTCAAAACTCAATAATTACAGTGTGCTCATCATTTAAACCAGGATGCTGTGCTAGTTCAAAGTTCTAGTTTCCGCAGTTTAGTTTAAAAACGTTGTGTGGAGGAAGCTGAGCTGTGAGCTACTCACTCTGTTTCATGAGCTGGACTGCCAGACTCGGGCAGTTGGAGCACATCAGGGAAAGCATTCGAACCACCATGATGAACATCCCCGAGCTAAGAACAGGAGGGGTGACAACCAGCAGCTGCTGAATGTTGGTCAACAGGTCTCGTGATGCCACCTGCTGCAGCAGGTTCTGTCCAATAAAACACAATTGCACACGTTTGATGGACAACAAGACAGGAAACTGAGGTAGCCATTTAGTGCTGGTAAAACACAAATCACCGGTATACAAGTACAGACAAACGTCGCTTAAATGTCTGAAGTTACTGACCTCTTCATGTTGAAAGTTGTCGACCAGTCTGGCGAAACAGAGGCAAGTGCTTTCAACTGACTTTTTATCCTGAAAAACGCACCAGAGAAACTGAGTTATCATAAAAACTTTTTTTTTTATTTAAATATTTGAGTGCAAACATTTTTGATGCTATGCAATAAAACTACATTTTTGTACGCCCTTCTTTGTTCTTGAATTGCATTTTCATTTAACCTTTATTTATACAGTTTAATCCCATTGAGCCTCTCAGTTGTTGCTGTGATGCAAATGTGGAACAAATTAAAGCCCCTATTAACAAAATGATGTCATATTTTTGTAGTATCATGTCCAACAAATGCAGATTAAAATGTTAATGCAATAGTAAAATAAGGAATATGAAGCCATGACTACTTTTCTCATAATACACAACATGAATGCCACAACGTTTGTCAGTTTAGAACACTGCACCTACAATTAGGGTTTTCTTTTACTTACAACAGCAAACAGCCTTCGCAACAGTGAGCCAAACCAGACATGCTGATGACTGTTCCCTCAGCCTAAAGTTAGCCAGTATCCCCCTTACAACTCAATCTTTTTTAAATTCTGGTAGGAAAAGAAAGGGGTTTAGCAGAGTGGAGAACAAGCAACATTTATGAACCTTGGGTATTTTTTACTGAGACTGTCTGATGATACAGTTATAGTTTTAATGAGATGAGCTGTTATACAGTATCGGATTGTACCAAAGAATATAAATGTGCACATTTTCACCTAATATATTACACATAACTAAATTAGAATGTGTACACACAAACAGAAGTTGTATTCATGGAAACTGTCTGGATTTAACATTGATCATTCTGTTCTTTCTCATCGAGGTGTGTTTGCTCTCCTAAACAAGTTTAACCTAAACTGGCGTTAGCCCACCTGTGGACACTTCGATAGATCTGAACACAGAGCCTCGTAGATTCTAATTTAAATACCATAATCTTAATGTGTAGGCCCTCCCCTCCTTCCTTGAAACAAACCACAGGTCAGAACTCATTTAGCCGTGCTGTGCCTTATGAGAGGAACAGTGAGAGCGTGACATTAATAAATCATCAGCTTATCATATCGCTAATGACATGGTCCTTAGCAGCTAACAAGATGGCTAACTTTAGCCATTTTGTTCCACAGTTGAGACTGGGACAGTGTCATTAAATAAATAATAAATAAATAAAGTGCTATGTGTTGCCATCATTGTATGTTCCCATACAAAGACGAAAATGGCTCTCTACATTTAACCCATCGCACCTGGGATGCACCCAGGTGAAGCAGTGGGCAGCTATGCAAGTGCACGGGGAGCAATTTGGGATTAGGTGTCCTGCTCAGAGACACCACGAGATGTGCAATGACCGGGGATCAAACCCAGGACCTTAGGGTCCCGAGTCGGCTGCCCTGCCCCTACACCATCTCGGCCTTTAGCAATATGATAAGCTGCTGATTTATTAATGTCGTGCCACCTCTCACCTTTCCTCTCATAAGGCACAGCATGGCTAAATAAGTTTATACCGTGGTTTGTTTCAGGGAAGGAGGCTGAAAACACAGTCAGAGCTGCAGCTTATAACTTAACTTATAGCACTGTTTTAAATGGTGAAAAAGATTTGTAGTTCCGACCTTTTGTCAGGACTTGTTTTCGACATGGTCTACAAAAAACATTTTTCTGCTGCTCATCTGCCAATTTAAATCCAAATCATCTCCAAAAGAACAGTCATTGTATTTCTTTTTGCTCATCTGCTACGCTGCTCTTCATATCTCCCATATTTACTTGTTGTGCTAAATGTCTCCCACCTACCTGGAGAAGCAGGAAGCGTGTGCGTGGCTGTGTGTTTGTATTCAGTGAGGGAGAAGGAGGGGGGGCGTGCAGATGAGCACAGACTGGAGAAAAAGAACTAAACCGATTTTCAAGTCTAATTATAACGCAACGTGGAAATATCGATATAGACGATATAGCCCCATCTTATATCACATCAGATGTGATATACGAGATGAGATAAGGGGAACACCTGCAGAGGTAGGAAATACTCCGATGGTGGCGCTGCACATGCACACTAAAGGCAACTGCAGTCAAAAGTTTTTCTGCATTAACAAATAACAATAAATGTAGCATGTAGGAGCCAAAGCAGCAAAACCATAGGTCCAAAGGAACCAACATTATGGTAGTGAATGTAACCGTGATCATGCAGATGCTGCTTGTGCGATGAATGCAGCTGAGCAAGGAATTGTCAGGGTTGCCAGAAAAACATGAATACATGTTTTTTAATACGCCCTCCTTTTCTGTGCTCCATGTTCACGAAACATCCTCACTCAACACAACAGTTTGGGTAATATATATATATATATATATATATATATATATAATTTTAAATTGACAGTACAATAGTTCATTCATTATATGGCAACTTTGGCATGGAAACTACAGCGTTTCCATGTAAACCTGCTCTTTTTTTGTTTATTCGTCCCAATAAACACTGAAAAATCACCAACGTATTCAGAGGTTGTTCTTGTGTAAACAGTGTCTTATACTGAGCATACATACCTGGTGTGTGAGTCTCTGAGTTAACAACGAGAGAGAATCGTCAACAAAGTGGAACTCGTCTGGAGTGATGCTCTGGCAGCAGTTAGCTGCAATGGCCAAGGCGTTTCTCTGAGCATTAATGCTAAAGAACTCCAGATAGAGGAGGCAGTCAGCAAGCCCACCCTGACAGAAACAACGTTAAGAGTGGAGATTAGAGGAGGAGAGGTCAAAGTTATATGGAAAATAAAGACAAATAAAAATAAACAATACTTACAGCCTGCAAAATTGCTTTGCTGTGTCGTCTTGACAACATTTCCAAGGCAGTCAGTGCCTGTTCTGCTACGTCAATAAACTGAATCACCTGAAGCTACAGTCAAAAAGCAAGCCATTAGTGTTTTGAAATATCCTATTATTGTCAGACATTTACGACAAGTTTTTTGTTTTTACCTTCTCCAGGAAGACGGGAATGGCATCAACCACCACAGCCGAAGATCGAGGGAGGGCCTCCATCATGTAGGTGAGGGCTCGTGAGGCGTGATTCATCTGTGTGCATGAAAGAAGTGTGCATAAACAGTTGCATTTAAAATGTATATTTTACAGATATAAAACTAATTTTACTTACAATTTCAAAGTTATGCTCCATTTGTAACAGTGTAATCTGAAAAAAAAAAAAACAGTTTGTGTTAAAATGTTATGAAATAGAGAAATCTGATAATGTGAGATTAATTTGCACTTTTAACTGAAAAATGTTAAAAATCAAGTTCACATTATCCTGATGCATGCTCAATAATCCAGGTAGATAAACCTAACAAGGTTAAGTCCCTGTTTACACAATGTGTTTGAGTGAAACCACAGTTTTTCTGCCGTTCATTTACACGACAACAGCCCTTGTTCTCTCTGAAACCGAAGGTTTCTGAATCCAGGTCTCAGGCCCCATTTACACGGACAGGGCGGTGGGAAATGTAGTTTTTTTCGGATGTTGATTTGAGGAAAAAAATCAGCATTGACACGGAGCGCCTTTTGTGTTTACATGTAACTGCTGTACACCCCACCACCACCACCACCAATTCCGCTGTAGTTGCCATGCCGGGTCATTAGTTGGCGCTGTGAATTTTGTATATTTGCCTAATGCGCATGCATGCTGCCTCGGACCGCTCTCTGTAAGGACTTTCCACTGGGCTAAAAGCCCAACTAACAACAAGTTAAAGCTGGACTTTGGATACGAATCGATTGATTTGATGCCAATCGGGACCGCTTCATCAAACAGCTCCACTGGTCGCTATGCGAACCAGCACTGATGAGGATGATGTTGGGCTTCCCATTCTGGTGCTAATCAGTAGCTGTCGCGCAATGAATGCTACAGTAGGTAAATCAACGTTCTAAATAGGGGTTGAACGACTACATAATTTTTTTAACTAGACATTAACATAATAAAACTCGAGTAGAACTCTAGATCCTATGATGTCATCAAGTACTCGAGATACAAAAATAAAATTAATAAAACCGCAAAAAAGGTCATTATTTACAAAAAAAGACCAACAAAACATTGAGAGCATATATTATGCTCCTACCATTTATCATACTGCAAATAAGTCACAAAAAACCCTAAACTATTAGTTATTATTATTAAACTGCAAAAGTAAAAGAAATGTGCGGCACGTAAAAACAAAACTTAAAAACAGTGGGGTGGACGACCACTCCGCAGTAGTGCGCATTAGGTTTAGTTTTAGAGATTAATGTTTATATGTTTTTATAGATTTAGAGATTAATATTTTTTGCTTTTTGTTTGTGAAACAAGGTCAGAGGAAGCTGGTTCTGGTTCGGTCATTGGACCCGGTGTTACACCATATTCTGTGACCTGCAACAGTGCATACAACACCGCCCCCTACGGTCACAATATACAGTGGTCACAAAATATGGTGTAACACCGGTTCGCAACAAGCTCCAAACAGTCAGGAAGTTGATTCATTTTCTGTTTCCTTACAGTAGTTGAACCGGAAGATTAATCTTTAGTGAAATATTTCCAGACTATTGATGCATTTATACCTGTTTGCCAAGACTGGGCCTGCTCCACTCCATCTGTCTGCTTGGAGGAATCCATTATGTAACCCGCGCCTGGTGCGGATCACGTGACACGTGACGCAATGACGTAACGGCGACGTGATGATGTCACCACTAATACTCGACGTGAAATAAAAAAACTCGATAGATGTCCTAGGAATCGATGTGTAGATTACTCGAGTAGTCTGTTAAAGCCCTATTTCTTAATAATGCTAGTTTGTGATTACCTCAGTTACACAACAACCTAGTTTTTAATTTTAATTTTTCCTGCGAGGAGAAGCTGTCCTCCCACCAGAGGCGGAACGGTTCCGAAAGAGCCGTGGCCCAGGTGCGGTGCAGGAGGACATCGAAAAGAGAGATGTTGGATGAACTATTTATTTAAAATTCCCCTCAATTCTTTTTTCCAATCCGTTCAATGTTTTAATCTACATTAAGCAAAGGAGTGACAGCCTGAACAAGCCAGATAAACAACATGACATCAGTATCCAGGACAACAACAAAGAGGAAGGGTGCAGTTCATTAATGTAGTTTAAAGTTCGGTTAACATGTTTTTAATAGTGTTCAGTTTAATTATCAGTGTTTGTGTGACATAAAGTTTGTGATGTTGAATAAATAAATAAAAAAATTCAGCGGGCAGTCGCCTCAAAAATCTCCACTCGAGACCTGGGTTGAAAAACCTTTGGGGGGACTGTTGATGTGTACATGAACAGCAGAACCACAGAGAGAAAGGTGAGGTTTCACTCAAAATATGTGCAGTGTGAACGGCCCCTCAGAGTGGAGATTTTCAGGGGAACCCACTGCGGAGGTGTGCAATGTTCCACAAGTGTGAAGTCCCACATGCGCACTTCAGGTGGCTGAAGTCCAAAATTTTTTCCTGCACTAACAACAATTATAAAAAATGGCAGCGAGCAGAGGGTTTTTTGTGCTTCTCACCCTTTTTCAGCATGTAGGAGTAAAACTAATAAAATCCAGGGTCCAAAGAGATGTTAATGTATTCAACAGTTTACTTGCAATAACAGCATGGTAAGAGGGTGACAAATGACGGAGGCCTCCATGTTCAGCTGTCCCTATCTTACAATGCCGTTATCGCAAGTATCACTCAGCCCTCTGTGAATAGCAAGCGGCCATCAGGGCACTAAGGTCAATTGTTAGGGCTCTAATTGTTATGCTAATGATTGAGCATGCATCAGGATATGCTGACGGTCCTCCTTTTGCATGTGAACTAGTTTTGGATGTCACCAGCAAACTGGTTGATCCACTATGAGAAGGCGCTATTTATACAATTGAGTTTGTTGCATCTCCTCAGACTGAAGAAGTCTTTTGGATAAAAGAAATAAAGAAATGTTTCAAAAAAGAAAGAATCCGTCCAGAGGATCTGACTTAACCCTGTTAGATCACGTTCACATTATTCCAAGCAAAGTAAAACATTTGTCTGATGGAGCTTCAAAATACTGACAGCTGTCACTGTCATCAACTACAGAAACATTACTGACCAAACTAAATAAACCTTACCAATGCAGGCACAACACTCTTTACAGGAAATCCACCGAGTGTTTCCTCGTTGCCCATCACCAGCAGCTGACACATCTCTATTGCAGCTTGGAGCTGTTGAGACTCATCACCTGTAGCCTGAAGGCCCTGCAGCAGCTGCTGAGCCTTGGAGCCTGAAAAACAAGAGTTAGATTTATTCAGTAGGTTATAAATAAGATAAGAAAATTCAAGCTGCTTTAAATCACACAACACAATGATAAGAAAAAATAGATACAATAAAAGACAAGACAGAATAAATACAGTAAGACAAATTTATAGGAGGTAAGAAAAGTACTAAAACTTTATGACAACAAATAAAAGAAATGGAAAAAAAGTAGTTATCGCACTATGAAAACTAGATGATTACAGTACAGGTGTGAGTGGTTAAGTAAACTGTAATAAGGTGCTCATTGACTGAAAACAAGGAAACCGAACTTAAAAAACAGCAGTCATTGGACCTTTCAGAGGAGTTATGTAGCCTGATAGCCTAAGTAACAAAAGACGAGTCTTATGCATCATACTGAACCTATGAAAAAAAACCACTACTCACTAGCTCCACTGCCAATGGTCCTGTGAAAAAGTTGTGACATACGGGGTCCGAGGGGGCCAAAAAGATGTGGTGGCAGACCTCTGGCCTCCAGTAAAGCTACAGGAAGAAGAAATACCAAGCTTTAGGGAGTAAACATGTTCAACAGCTGGAAAAAAACAAATTTCACTTGCCAATGAGATTAACCCTCAGAAGGTCCTCAAGTTTATGACAATAAGTGTTTTTTAGGGGGAAAAATAAAAATAGAACAAACACCTAACATAACCGCTTAAAAATACTATTTGGCATTTTTTCCCACAATATATTGGTCAATTTTAGAGCCATCTCTCATCCTAAAATAAAAACCTAACATTTTAACACTTTAAGGGCCTTTAGTTAAAAATAAATAAATAAAAACAAGTATTTTTAAAAATCAACGACAAAAAAATGTTGATTTTTTTAGGAAAACAGTCCTTTAAAACAGTAAATTATGGCCAAAATTATTATTATTTTTTATTCCAGTATTGGTAAGGTCATCAAGCCATACAGACCCTCCAAATCTGGTAGCTGAAAATTATGCCTTGTTCAGTCAAACTTACATGTCGCTCAGTGGTCAGAGATGTTTTTTCTGTTTTTTAAGACAACTAAATATTGAAAGTATAGAGATAGAAGTAATTAAAAAAAAATCTGAAAAGAATGCATTACTTTATAATACAACAATTATGGGATCAGAAAATACATATATAATGGGATTTCTTCATGGTCAATTTTTCCCCTAAAGAACACTAGGGGCAGTAAAGTTACTGGGAGCATTTGAAAAAATCTAAATAAATAAAATAAACAAACAAAAAACAAACAAACAAAAGGATTTTTAGGCTTTGTCAAGAACAATTGTTTATTGACAGCACCAAAAAAATTAAATAAAACCAACAAAAATAAATGTGTGGCTGATTTTTCCCTATGAGACCCTCTGAGGGTTAAAAACAGCGTTCTGACACACCTTGAAGCCTTCCCATTTCAGAATCGTCAGACTCACTCTCTCCTGAGGTGGTCATGCCGACCGCTCCAGCAACTGAGCTTGAAGCTGGACAAGAAACAATAATAAATAAAAAATGTGCAACGGTTAAAGAAAAAAAATCAAAAGAAAAAAATAACATTTCCAAAAGTTGTTAGCTTTTGCTACGCAAAAATAAATTTCTTGATAAAAGGTTTAATGATGTAGGAAAGGAAAGGAAAAAAATAATCTCTTTGACCCCTACTTTTGTTGACTACACCTCGTCTTCTAATTTACACAATTATTGCGTCTTAATCCATCTTGAGCTGTGGCTTGAATTGTGGCAACAAACTGGTCTATCTACCTGAAGCTCCTTGTGATGTCTCATCAGTGCGAGCAGTAGATGAGTTGGCTCCATCCTGGTTGTTGTCGGAGTCAGCCATTTTATCCTGTCGGCGAGCGTCAGCTGCCCCGCGCTTGCCCAGGCCTGAGCCCCGCCGACTGTTACACGAGTACAAACAGATGGAAAATATGAGCGACAGTAAAATAAACACAAAGTGCAGCATATTCTCTTTCATCAGTAAATCTACATACAAAATAGTGGTCCCTGCAGATTTTTTATAAACAGACTAGCAAACTTGTTCCATCGTTATCGTCATTTTTCGATTAGCAGCATATCTGCCAACCTGGAAGATATGCTCAGAGTCCAAGCTTTGACATTTTCTTTTTTCCCCTCGGCTGCTCCCTTCATCAGGGGTCACCACAGCAAAGTGAGTCGCACGAAGACTTGGCAATTATTTTTACACCGTATGTCCTTCCTGATACAACCACAGACCATTGAGCTACCACAGCCCTCTGTGTGGAGCAGAGAGCTGCTATCTAGGGTGCCCAGGGGAGCAGATGGTGGGGTTAAATAGATTATAGGTTAAAAATTGGACGCTCCTGCATATAAACCGCAGGGTACAAAATGTGAGAAAAAAGTAGTGGCTTGTATCCTGGCAATTACGGTAGTCCGTTTGAAGAGTTTCAGTCAGGGTTTAGAGCTCATCATAGCACAGCAACAGCACTGGTGAAAGTTACTAATGATATTCTCATGGCCTGTGACAATGGAGATATGTCTATACTGGTCCTGTTAGACCTCAGTGCTGCATTTGATACAGTTGATCACAATATTATATTACAGAGACTTGAATATGACATTGGGATTACAGGAACGGCTCTACATTGGTTTAACTCATTTATTTGATAAGATTCCAGTTTGTAAATGTAAACGACAAATCTTCATACACCAAAGTTAGTCATGGAGTTCCTCAGGATTCAGTGCTTGGACCAATACTCTTTACTTTGTATATGCGTCAGTTTTTCCCCTACTGTTATCCAAGAAGGGCGCCACGCCGTCAACAGAATCAAGCATCCCAACTTCCTATTAAAAGGCAGTTTTTCCTTACCACTGTTTCCTATGTGCTTGCTGAGGATGGGAGACTGCGACTAAGTGAAGATTCAACGCAATCTGCTGACTTCCTTATATAGATAACTTTTACTAATTGGCTTTTACAATGCACAAAATGTGAATGTTTTTTGTACAGCGCTCTTGAGACAACTTCTGATGTGACTATCTATCTGATGTGACAACTATATAAATAAACTGAATTGAATCTTTATAACACACCAGTCCTGTTCCAGTGATGTGGCGAGTTCAAATTTAAAACTTACAAGTGAGCAACCTTGTCAAGTTACTAAGGTAACAGAGGCTAAAATCTAGTAGGTCAGAAATACACTTTTCAGTTTCAATATACCACAGTTTTAAACAGTTATGGTTTCAAAACAAAAGTTACGTATGTAACTATGGTTCTATGAATCCCGGATGACCGCCAAAGGGCGGTGCTGAAAGCACTGAATGTTCTATTTGCGCATGCGCTGCTCGAGTAATAATATTAACGGAGTCACAGGTGTGACACGTATGACCAATCAGAGGCTATATAGCCTGACGTCATCCGCAGCTCTGTTCCTACAGGATCTTCTCACAGAATGCAAGGATTCTGAGTGACAGAGAAGCTCTGGCGATCATCCGGGATTCATAGAACCGTAGTTACATACGTAACTTTCGTTCTATTTCATACCTCCTGACAGCCAGAGGGCAGTGCTGAAAGCACTGAATGACTAATACCAACGATGTCACAAGGAATCCTGAGCACACACCTCACTGAGGAGGCCCAGAGGACCCTTGCAGAAGACCCTGGCCCAGGGGATGAGGGGTGGCCACGTTCACTCTGTAAAATCTGGTGATGTGCTTGGGGAAGCCCATGATGCGACAACACACATAATGCTTCCATTGGAACCCCTCTCAGGGCAGCTCAGGAAGCGAACACGCTTGTGTGCCTTCACGCCGACAGGCAGGGGGTCGTGCCCTGCGGCGTGGCAGATGACATCCACGATGCAGTGGGAGAGGTGCTGTTTAGAAAGAGGATAGACTAACGTAGGGCCTCTGTAACACAGACAGCTGGTCTGAATATCATATAACGGCAGGAACTACAACGAATGTCTCGGGTGCTCTCACTAGGCACAATAATCCAGACCCCTCGCCAGGTGTAGGCTGAAAACGTGCCAGCCTCAACAGTTTGTTATAGTGAGAGTGAGATAATACCTTTGGTACAAATACGGTGTTTGGCCACAAGGTAAGATCATAGCCCTCAGGGCACCATCCGAGACATGAGGAGCTGAGAGAGAGCGTGTAGCTCGCAGACCCTCTTGCTGAGGCCATAACCCACAAAATGGTTGTCTACATGAAAACCACTTGAGGTCCGCCTGCGCCAGAGATTTGAAAGGAGGGCGACAAAGAGTTTCGAGAACCAAGGGCAGATCCCAACCTGGTGCTCGTGGAGCTGTCAGAGGGTGCAACATATGGGCACCACGCAGAAAAGAGAGACTAGATCAAGGCTCCCCACCATATGACCATTGATGCCGGCGTGATTAAATGAAATTTCCGGTACATAAACTGTAAGCGTCGAAGGAGAGCGACCCTTACCTAGGAGAGACTGGAGGAACTCCAGAATGGTGGGTACTGTACAGGAGACTGGATCCTCATTGTGGTCAAAACACCATTGGGAAAACAGACGCCACATGTTTTCGTACTGCTGACGAGTAGAGGGTGCCCCAACGCCCAGGATGGTGTGTCTAACGGGGCTCGAAACTCCAGTCAGCTGCTGTCCTAGCCTTGCAGTGGCCACACCCACAGCCGAAGATGTTGAGGATTGGGGTGCCTTATCAGTCCCCCCAACTGAGACAGCAAGTCCCTCCTGGTCGGAAGATACCATGGGACACCTTGACAAAGGCCCCATAGCAGTGGGAACCATGGTCATGCTGGCCAATACGGAGCCACCAGCAGCACCCTGTGGCCCTCCTTGAGGACTCCCTGAAGGGTCGACCGAATTAGAGAAAGGAGTGGAAAGGTATATAGGAGGACCCTTGGCCAAGGATGGGCTAATGCGTCCTGGCCCAGCGCACCAGACGTCCCGGTAGGGGAGTATCATAGGGGACACTGAGTCGACTTTTATGTCGCAAACAGGTCTACCTCTGCCTGACCAAAACATTACTAGATCATCAGCACTATGTCTCTGTCGAGGGACCACTCTCCCAGAGCAGACCCCTGGCGAGAGAGAAAGTCTGCGGCCTGACTGTGTCGCCCTGGTAAGTATGCCACCCGCAGGGTGAACAGGTGAGGAGAGGCCCATTCCAAGGGCTCTCTGGACATACTCAGAAGTTGTGCTGACCTGGCGCCCCCCGGTGGTTGATGTGGTAGACAACAGAGGTGTTGTCTGACAGAATGAGAACATGCCCCGCTTCCAGGTGGGGCAAGAAGTACCTGAGTGCCAAATGCAGTGAATGCAGCTCCAACTCCTTATATGGTTGGAGCGGTCCTTTAACCACAGTGGCCCTGAACCCCTCTGCGTTGTCACACAGCACCCAATCCTATGGAGCTGGCATCCGTCGTGACCGCTTCCCTGCAACACACTACCACTCCCATGGGGACATCCCTGGACAACTAATCTTTGTCCCTCCATGGACTCGGGGCATGAAGACGTGACCATGTCACTGTGAGCTTGTGATACCTGTGCAACTTGGCATCCAGGCGAAGCTGTTGAGCCACCTCTGCAAGGGGCGAAGTGACAGCGGACCTAAGGGCACCACCTGACTGACGTCAGTTGCCTAGTAGCTGCTGGAAGGCAACGTAGGGGAGCTGCCTGCCAAGCCTGAACCGACTGACCAACTGGAGTATGCCGCCCATCCTTTGAACGGATGGGCGAGCTCTCATGGAGGGTGAATCCAAAGCCACCCAAGAAAGGTGATCGTCTGAGAAGGGATCAGGCAGCTCTTCTCCGGGTTGACATGAAAGCCCAACTGGAACACATGATGAGCAAGCAGGCGATTCGTGTCGTGAAAGGCACAGGCCCGAGACAGGGCGCAGAGAAGCCAATCAATTAGTACAGCAGAACCTACACTCCGTAGGCCTGCAGGAGAGAGGGCTGCGTTCACGCACCGAGTGAACACCCTCGGGGAAAGAGAGAGAGCCCGAATGGGAGTACCCGGAACTGCCAGTTATGACCCCAATAGGCAAACCTGAGAAAGCGGCGATGTACTGCCGCAATAGGCACATGAGAATAAGCATCTTTCAGGTCTATAGACGTGAACCATTCTCCCCTTGTGACAGCTTGAAGGATCTCAGCTGTCATGAGCATGTGGGAGGGCAGCACCCTTTGGTACTGGTTGAGTCCCCGTAGAACTAAAATGGGACGAAACCCGCCGTCCTCTTTGCACGAGGAAGTAAGTCGAGTAATAGCCTCTGGGTTGTTACAGAGGGTCCACTGCCTCAATTGCACCCTTGACCAGGAGGGCAAAAAACTCCTGGTCTAGTGCTTGAGCCTTCACCGGGTCGGTGATTATAGTCACCTTGACCTGGCGTGAGATGTGGGGCCGCCGTCGGAACTGTAGTCTGTAACCATGGGTCAGAGTGTAGGGACGCACCAATCCACTTTTTTTAATTTTTTTTTTTTTTTTTTACTTCCGATCTGATCCTGATACCTAAATATCAGCCGATACCGATCCAGTTCCGATATGATCATCATTATTGATTTTATATGAGGCTGTAATAATCTCCTCTCAAGTACAATTTATACAAATATATGCATGCATGTCCAAAAAGGCAACTTGAGGTAAGTTGTATTAATGTTGGATAAGTTTTAAAGTTAGAATTAAATTCTGCTAACACAAAACATGTTTCTTTTTATTCCTAGTTTTAAAGTGGATATTAAAGTGATTAATTTAAGTGATTGTTTAAAGTTATATTATATTTTTTTTTAAAGGGGCAGATATAATAATTATTTTTCTTCTTTCTGCACTCTTCATTCAATGTTTTCTTTTTAATGATTTTTTTTTTTATTTTGTTTCTTTTAAATGAATAAATGAATTAAATAAAATAAAATGTTAAATGGCTTCAAATACCTGCCAAGTTCATGGCATAAACCAACAGACATGTTCCTGTTTTTAGTATTTTACATCACTTTATAATGTAGCCGTTTTTGTTTTTAATATAATTTTCAAATCATATGTTTTTTATGATTGTCTACTGTTGTACTGATAAATATCTCCTGGAGGGTAAACTATATCTTGGCTGCAAGTATCAAGCTGAGAAATCTTTTGTTTTCTACAACTGATAGGAGTTGGTCATTAATTATGATGAAGTTTAGCAACTTCTGTGTAAACATTTGAGCTCCGTGGTTTCAGTGATGTCTTCTTCTTGTTCAATCCAAAGCAGGCTGCCTGATGGGTAGCCGCACTCAGTCTGTCCCTCCTCAGAGACGGGCAGACTGAGCGGGGCAGATTGGACGCGGCTGGCTGGGGTCGAGTCGCCTGTTGTGGGTTGAGCAAAGAGCAGCGCCCCGCTGAAGCCACGGAGCTCGAATGTCCATCGTAAAACTAACTTTACAGCAGTTTAATGTGGCGCTAAGGCTCTGCAGACATTGCACGATGCTGCCTTGTTTTGTGGTGTTTCTAGTGTAAAATACTTCCACACAGCGGACATGTTTAGATGAAAAGTTTGTTAGCTGTTAGACACAGTGCTGCTAACTCAGTCCTCACGTTGTAGCTGGCTGCAAACTATGAAATGGATTTCCTGAATGTGAGGCGGGTCTTATTACTCTGGCTTCATGAGACACGCCGCCGTTCAGGAAATTCATTCCATAGTTTGAAGCCAACTTGCATCATGGATTGGAAATATCGGCAGGTGGATCGGAAAAATCCGATACGTAAATTATGCTGGTATTGGAGGCCGATACCGATACTGGATCGACCCCATCCCTTTCAGAGTGGCAACCACCCATGGGTCCACGCCGTGAGCCGCCCAGTAAATGAGCTGCTGGTGGGAGAAGTACCCAGCGGTCGGCCCGGTGGCATCAGCGTCTCCCTTCACGGCTCCTGGGGGTCGTGTGGTGGGGCGGCCAGAGTCCCTAGTCAGAGCCTGCCCAGCTGGTCGGTGGACCGACCCACGAAAGCTCCTGCTGGGCCTTTGCTGAACTGCACGAGGGTAAAGACCACCCGGCCGATTATGACCCCTAGGCGGTGGCTGCATGCTGGGGTCAGCCGACGGGCGCCTTGGATGCCGAGGAGGTGGAGGGGGCATTGCCCTGCTAAGGCTCTGCTAAGGCGACATGAAGCTGCAATTCATGCAGGGGTTCTCTGGCAGGGCCTCCATCAGATGGTCATGTCCAAGGTAGGGGTTGAACGACTACATAATTTTTAAACTCGACATTAACAAGATAAAACTCGAGTAGAACTCGAGTACTTGATGACATCATAGGATCTAAAGATACAAAAATAAATAAATAAATAAATAAATAAAACTGCAAAAAAAGGTCATTATTTACAAAAAAAAGACCAACAAAACATTGGGAGCATATATTATGCTCCTACCATTTATCATACTGCAAATAAGTCACAGGAAAAACTAAACTATTAGTTATTATTATTAAACTGCAAACGTGAAGAAACGTGCAGCACGTTAAAAACAAAACTTAAAACAGTGGGGGTCCGACTCCGCACCACCGCCAGCTATGGTGCGCATTAAGTTTAGTTTTAGAGATAAATATGTTTATAGATTTTTTTAAAATAGGTTTAGAGATTAATATTGTCAGAGGAAGCTGGTTCTGGTTCGGTAGATTGGACCCGGTGTTACACCATACTCTGTGAACTGCAACAGTGCAACACCGCCCCCTACGGTCACAAAATATCATATAACACCGGTTCGCAACGCCTCCAAACAGTCAGGAAGTTGTTAAATTTTCTGTTTCCTTACGGTAGTTGAACCAGAAGATTCATCTTTAGTGAAATATTTCCAGACTATTGATGCATTTCTACCCGTTTGTCAAGACTGGACCTGCTCTGCTCCATCCATCTGCTTGAAGAAATCCATTTTGTAACCCGCACCTTGTGCGGATCACGTGACACGTGATGCAATGACGTAACGGCGGCGTAATGACGTCACCACGAATACTCGACGTGAAATTAAAAACATCGATAGGTGTCCTAGGAATCGATGTGTAGATTACTTGAGTAGTCTGTTAAAGACCTAGTCCAAGGCAGGCAGGACACAGGTCGTGACATGCATCTGTCTGGAGCATGGCTCCACAGACTGTACAGCAGTGAGAGCCGTCCATGCTACTTACCCAGCTATGTCCAAGATATAGGACGAAAAAATTACGGCAAGAAACTCGGAAAGGTTAACACCGCTAGCTCAGCTGGTAAAAGAGAACAATTGGGAGAGGGGGCACAAACGCTTTCCTTCACCAATTAAAACAAGGCCAGAACTCGGAGAGGCTAGCCCCGCTAGCTCAGCTGGTAAAGAGGACAATTGGGAGAAGGGGCGCGAATGCTCGCCTTCACCAATTAAAACAAGGCCAAAACTCAGAGAGGCTAGCACCGCTAGCTCAGCTGGTAAAGAGGACAATTGGGAGA